TTGTTAAAGTTTGCGATAAATGCAAAATCTATATAAGAAACTTTAACAAGATATTAAGAATTGCATACGATTTTCAGAAGGGGACTTTTTTAGAGACGGGCTTTGTCGATAATTTTTCTCTTCCGACCCCTCTTTCACCAGATATTCACGTTTGAAGTCGTTTCCTTACTTAGGCATGTTTGACGTTTGAGATCAATCGACCCTTATCGACCCATATTGGAAAGGGCTACTGGATATATCACTGGCAGAAAATTCTGCACTTGTGCACAACTCACTCGACTCTTGTTAAGTTATGGTTATGCGATGTTCGATATAAATTATCGATTCGTCTGTATATTTAAAAACTGTTAGGTACCTACTATAATTTCATAACAATTCTTCATACCCTCATACTTCGCGCGACCCGACCGGCAACCCCTATCCTTTGTTTTGAAAGAAAAAGATATTCCACTTATCTAGTACCTATGTAGTCAGTAGATGAGAGTGGGCTAAGATTCAAAGGTAGATATCTCACAGTGTGAGAAAAGAATTCTCCTAATCTACTCAGAACCCTCACAAAAACCCAAAAGGACACATAATCTGTGTTCGTTTTGTGCGTCAATATTAATGTAGATGCTGGGGTAACAACTTGTTGGGAAGAATGGGTAATAGATGGCGGATGGAACCAAAGCAGATTGTTCCCAAATAAATCAAGTGTTGAAATGTTTCGTTTATGAAATACGCCCACAAAATTTGCGTTTTTAATCTTTTCTCGGCAAAATTTGATGTTTTGAGGTTTTTGACCACGAACTTGAAAATTTGACACAGTTGTCCACTGCAATTCTTGTAAAGTCAACCAAAAAATCCTAATATTCCAGTTAACTCCTAGAGACGCATTGTGCTAAACAGTTTTTGATCTCGTTTGTGATATTCTAACTACTTCGTTGACCGCATTCGGATTTTTAAGAACTGATAGCTCGACTGATAGGGTATGACATTTTTTTTAAATCATAATATTGTTTCCTACTTTTGTTTAGAAATTCGCCGTTTAGGGTGTGGATGTTGGTTTGCATAATTCGTATAGAATGGTAAAGGGTTCATTCAAACCATGTAAATTTAAAAATATTTTGGGAGCTTGTCTTAGGTGAAAAAAAAATGTTTACTTTGACTCCCTCTATCGTTCCTACAAAAGATTTTATAGTTTTAATCTCGGTTTTAATGGCTTCATTTGTTGCCCAATATGACTATTCTACGCCCCTCCCCCGAGGGAGGTGTACTTAAGTAGTGGGGGGTACAAATGACTATACAAAACGTGGCTGCTGGCTGGCAGCAAATGTGGGCGCGTAGAAGAACTCTTGTAGAAAGGCAACGGGTGTACGTGTATCTACAAGGCCGTGTAATTTGTCAACCTTAAGGACAGGGCTACATGATGTGGGGTTGGCGACATCTTGGCGTCATCCTCGAGCGTAGTTTACTGACAGGAAGGTTTTTCAGTTTTTTCCTATCTTCTACTATACAGTTTTTGTCCGATTCTTTTCAAATTTGTGTCGTCGGAATGATGTTGAAAACGCGCACAACTCCTGCGTGGTGGAATTTTGTTTTTGTCCTAGGGGCGAAATTAACGAACTTTTAGAGCTTTGTGCATCCTAAAATTGTCGTGTAGCAGTCTGATCTTAAGCCCGTTGGTAACGTTCACTTATTTAGGACAAGTTTTAATCAATTTTTTAGGAACATGAAAGTTGTACGTTTTAAACAGCACTTTCGGTCATTTGTAACAGGTGGTCTCTTTAGACTTAGAAAGATTTTGTTTTGAATATAGGAAATTTTACACGTGTACCGCTTCATAGCGAAAAAGAACAGAACTGAAATGCAGTACAATGAAGCGCTTTCAGATAAGAAGCAAGTGTGCAAGCAAATAAGACCCAGTGAAGCCGGTTCTAAAGACCGTTCTTACGGAGCATGAGGGACAAATTTTCTGTTATACCTCTACATGTATAAAAAACGTGACCGAAGCGTCTGAACCTGCAAGGCGAACCTATGTAAGTCGAGCGCGGCATTTTAGATCGCGTAACATTTAAGTATTTTCAACTGAAAGTTTCCAGACAAATTCGTATAATCGAGGAATACGGAAAATTTACACAGGCGCGTAAACGTAGATGAGATTTTTCTTGCGAAAGTTAAAATTAATTGCTTTTAAATTCATTGCGAGTTACCATCATGAGTAAAACTAATATAGAGTGGCGTATTAATTTACATAAGCCAACATTTTCGTTTTGTTGCAATGTGATAAGCAGGATAGCGCTTAAATAAATTTTACCACGAAAGCATTGTGGTCAAAAGTAGAGAACGTTTCATTGCGTTTATACTGGGAGTGGTTAGTTACGATTAAAAATAAGTTTACTAACCAAATGTGTGCACCTCTCGTGTTTATACGGGGTGATAATAACGTTCTAATTTAAACTTAACCGGTAACAAGTTTAAAGACGATTAAGTAATTAGTGTGTTTGCTGGCTGTTCAAATCATAAGTATACAAGAAGAAAAAAATTCGTTAAGTGCACTTTCAAGTTTGTTTTTTCGATTTTAATAGCCCTTATAAACATTTCATGCCGTAACGAAAATACAAACCTTAAATTAATAATTTTTAATTTCTAATCGAATGACACCAATACCAAGTCTGTAAGTGGTGTAGTTCCGGATCCTTTGTGACTCAGACAGACAGACAGACAGACATGAAGAGCGCAAAAGTGCACTTTTTATTTTTTGAAAGTGAAAGTGCACTAAAAGTTGACATTTCCATACTGCGGAACTACTAAATTTCAAGAAACCTGAAGATCAGTTTGCTCCTGATTCAAATCGTCACCTGTCAAAATTCACTTCCAACGAGTAGTCAAACTTACCCTCGAACTTACCAGGCGATACATAAGGTCCAATTCTATTGCACAAGACGTTCCACCATCCAATTTTCCGAATTGCTGCTACCTTTTAATGAATCCAAATGTTCCTGACAAGAGAGAATCCATCTCCATCTCCATATCTTGGTGTAAAATGTACAAATCTGTGGTCTGTGATATGTGCACTTCGCTTGCAATAACTTAAACTTTAATTCTTCGATCTGTCAACATCATTTTTTCTTTATTCTCCTGTTTATTGCCTCATTGGATCATCTTGTATGGATTTTCGACCTGAATTTTACTTGATAATGTGATGTAGCATTCTCACCATATTCATCATTCGTTCGTGGACAATTTTTGGGTCACAGATGCAATCATGCAATAATGCTTTTGTGTTTTACATCGCCCATTTTCCAACCGCTACCAAAATTACAAACATTTTGCATTTTACACTTATAAATGCTGAAGCTGTTTGACGGTCAAAAATCATTGTGTTTCGTCATCACCGAATACCTCGCCGAATACATAAAAAACTCCCCTCGTATGTCACGACTAGGGCTGGGCGATTACGGGTTTGAATAATCGATAATCGATTATGAAAAATAATCGATTACACTGATTAATCGATTAATCAAATAATCGATTAATCACCTAATCGTTTAATCAAAAGTCGATTGTCACATACAAGGAGTGATAAATATCTGTATGCATTAATACGTTAATTATTTAATAATAAAAATAAAAATAATTCCATTACTCTTTCATCAAATCGTTCATTACTAGGCAGATCGATTAATCAATAATCAACAAAGTGTCCCTGGTTCGAATCCGAGTTCGGGCATGGATATTTGCAAATGCATAGTGGGTTGGTTGGTAGAACAGCCTTGGGTGAAACCCTGCCCATTTGAAAATGAAGGTCAAAAATAAAAATAAATAAATAAAAATAAATGATTAGGCAGCTTACTCTCCGATGAGGTGTGCTTTAGTTTTGATGATACAATCTTAATTCATTTTAGCTGCTTAAAGTAACGTTTTAACATCCGCTATAAAATAAAATCATACTTGTGAGCTGTGAGTGCTCCTTTTTGCGTAAACTGATGATCCAGCTAATAATAATCAATTAAAATTTACTTAATGATTGATTAATCAAACAATCGATTAATCAAATAACCGATTAATCAAATAATCGATTAATCAAATAATCGATTAATCAAATAATCGATTAATCGATAATTTAATAGAAATCAAACCCGATTATCGATTATCGTTTGATTATAATCGATTAATCGATTTTTGCCCAACGCTAACTCACGACATTTAAATTTGGGAGTGTGAACAACTACTTTGTATGGTGTAAATGCATTAATCGGATCAAATAAAGAAAAATGTTGGTACATTCTCACTCAAGATTAGCCAAATACCTATACGTCCCTATCTTGTATTGAACTTCCTATTTGTTATTTCAATTGTTAAACTGGCCTTCCGCCAGATCAATACAACACAATGCCAAAACTATTTTCAAATTTAAATTGTGCTACGTTTCGGCAGTAATGCCGATTAATGGCGACTGCAACGTACTGTACCTATATACTTGTTCAAATAATGAACAGCAAGTTAACATGGGTTTGATTTTCAAAAGAAAAATACTTCATCACTCATATGTAAGTAAAACAATTTATATAATCAATGGGTACAGCTACTGCTTTTGAGGTAGCCTCAAAATGTACGACCTAGTAAATAATCAAATTTTATTAGGTATGTGTCCAAACCAAGGTCCAAACCAATATGTGCACCCCCTAGTTAGTTTGTATTCTTCAAAACGTGTGAGAAGGCTCGGAGAGGGAGACCATTATCATTCGCGTGGCTGCGTGGACCTAAATTATTTGTTCCTTTTGCAAGGTGTTTATACACACTCGAGTACAAACTATTAAATCATTCAACTTCATATTGCGTAACGATCTTAAGTAAATTTATACCAATGTAATTAAACAATAATAGCCTATATTATTATGCGATGGAATCCCACTCTCTTTAATATACTCGTACTTAAATGTAATATTTAAAAAAATCTGGAAAGTATAAGTTAAAAGCACCAATCAAAATTTATTGCTGTTCCGCTTATCTGTAATGATGGCTGTAAAGTTTCTGAGCTCCAGAGTATCAGTTTTAACTTAAATTTGGCTACTTTTCAGTATTTGTGTAACTCTTGTGCAAACTATTAGCGTCAGAGAGAATATAGAAGACATTTGAAAGTTAAAGAACGAACTTTTGTAAGTACTGATTGGCACTTTTTTTTTAAATTAATTTTGGATTCGTTATTTTCATGTTGAAAACCGCGCGTAGATACCAAATTTCGTAGAGATCTAAATAGATTATACACCCCGTTTAAAAGGGGAGAAAAATTTAGCAAAAAACTTTACACTTTCACTTTCATCCCCTGATATTTTGATTATAAAATATTGTTTCTTAGACACGACAAGAAATGAGACTTTATTGGGGGGCGTAGTTCAAAAGCGAAACATTTTGCACCCGTGATTTATTCGAAAAACATTCCACCCAATTTTTTATGACACACTATACAGGCTGATATAAGAAATAGGTAGGTAGTTTAAATTTGGCAAAGTTTAACCATCTGCAAATTCGAATATTTGGGGGGGGGGTATAATTGTTGTAGAATATAATGAAATAATCTCCGAAATAATCAATAGAAATTAGCATTAAATAGATGCTGATTTTAGAAAATATATCCAATCATTTTTCGTAATTTTGTTTATTTTTTATACCACGTACAGGGCGTCACGAGGGGCATCATTAATAACAAAAAAATTAAGAAATATTTAAACTTAATAATTTTTAATTCGTTTTATTTGGTAAGTATGTTATTTTTTACATATAAACAATTAATGGTGTTGCGGTGGCAGTGGCGGTTTCTCAATAAGTGCACATGAGCACGTGCACTCCCAAAAATAATTTTAAAAAAACGAAAACAATAGCAATTCTATTTATGTATTTAACATTCTTGCACGTTCGTATCTCGCAATAAAAATAGTTCACTTATCTTATCTGAAATGCAAAACCTAACGGGTACATTGACACACCGCTAAACGTGTATTAAGAATTATTCCCATTCCGCCTTCCTGTGCAGTGCACGATTAGCTACGATCTCTGATTCGTTCAAACGCTACGTCGCCTTTCCCCGTGCGCCCCGCGAAGGTCCAAGTTGTAAAGTATAGCAAGAGCACACTCTCATTGTGAACCAGTATTCGCCGGACTGCGAAGTAGAGCGTGTTGATCGTTTCGGTTTTAACAAGTAACGTTGCGACGTTACCGTTCATTATTTAAAGACAATTATTAAATTTAATTTACTAAAATTAGAAGATCAAATTAAAATTAAAAATGCGGGTCGCCCAAAACCGAGTCGATATCGAAAATCAATAAAGGAAGTCGGGATTATAAACGATCGTTTAAAATAGACATGTATGAAAAAACTGACTGGTTATGCAGTTGTAACTTTAACAATAGTCTGTATTGTTTTCCGTGTTTGTTGTTTGGGGATGAGCTCGGTGATGACGATGAGGCATCAGAATGGACAAAGAATGGCGTTACAGACTTAGTGCATTTATCCGAATAAATTAAAAAATATCAATCTTCAAAGGCACATCATATATCTATGGAACGCCGTTTTAGTATTTATACCAACATTTTATCATGTATCATTTTAAATAACAGTCAATCTTATGTCTCTAAATTTTTCGTTTGTTGTTTTTATCTTACGTATTAAGAGATTGATTAAAAAAATGTTGATTAATAAAGATGATACATGAATTAAAATGTTTGTTGATAATTTTAATTAGGCGCTAGTATACACGTAGTCAAATAGACTAAACTGTAGTTCCTGAAACTTCCGCACAATCAGAGATACGAATTAAAATTATCAACAATCATTTTAATTAATGTAACATTTTAATTCAACAATCACTTTAAATAATTCTTGCCGATTTTAACAGCATGAATTCATATGATTGTTGAATTAAAATGTTCTCTGAAAATATTTGTACAATTTTATTCCAAAATTTTACAATGTGCCATTTTAAATAACAGTCAATCGTATGCTTCTACTTTTTACGTTTGTTGTTATTGTCTTACGTATTAAATATGATTGTTTAAAAAATGTTACTTAATAAAAATATGAAATGAATTATATTGTTATATTGAATGAGTGTATATGAAACTGTATTTCAACAAACAATTAATAACAAACAATTAAATTGAATTGCAAGAAATACTTCGATTAATAAAACGATTTTGTCCAACAAACATAAAAATTCATTCATTTTAAATGTGGAATTAAAATTATCAACAAACATTTTAATTCATCAGTCATATAAATTCGACGATTTGAAAATTGAAGCCGAATATTTTCAACAATCACTTTAATTCAACAAACAAATAAATTTTTATTGTTAGACGTAGTAAAAGAATCTTTTAAAATGATTGTTGAATTAATATGATTGTTGAATTAAAATGTTACATGAATTAAAATGTTTGTTGATAATTTTAATTAGGCGCTAGTATACACGTAGCCAAATACACTAAACTGTAGTTCCTGAAACTTCCGCACAATCACAGATACGAATTAAAATTATCAACGAACATTTTAATTCATGTAACATTTTAATTCAACAATCATTTTAAATAATGCTTTCCGATTTTAACAGCACGAATTAATATGATTGTTGAATTAAAATGATTGTTGGGAATATTTGTACAACACTTCAATAATTGAATTAATATGATTGTTGAATTAAAATGTTTGTTCATAATTTTAATCCCACATTTAATATGAATAAATTTTTATGTTTGTTGAATTAGTTCTAGTTAGTTATATTACTGTTCGTTTATGTATTCGTTTGTTGATTTGTATTGTTAAACTTTCGTTATACACATTGCTATATAATTCATACATCATTTCAATTAAGTGAAGTTTTTTAAACAAACATATTTAATGTTTCACATAAAAACAACCAACATAATAAATCGGGAAATAAAATTAACTGTTGTTTATAATGTTACATTGTAAACTTTCGTACCTAATAAAAAGTAAAACGGCGTTCCATATATATCTGCTAAATTGATAATTAGGTAAGCAAGATATACGGCAACAGTTAAATAGTGCATACCGTTTGAGTATCGAAAAACGTAATGAGGAAGTAAAAAAGAACAGGTATGTTTTATCCAAAATTATAGACCGTATAAAATTTTGTGGTGCTTTGGAACTTGCTCTCCGCAACCATTGACAAAACGGAGAAAATTCAATAAACCCTGGAGGTCTCATCAATAAGCTTTTTTATGCCATTTAATAGGCCCAAAAAACTTCGTGTTGCGGTGACACTCAAAAAATTTTCGCCAACGGCGTTTTGCCAGTGGCCCTATTTTTCCTCCTTTTTTTTAAATTGTGCACCCCCAAGACGCACCACTACGCGCCGCCACTATGCGGTGGATCCTTCACATCCCTGGGGTGAGGGGGAGGGGATTGGGCCCTCACCAACGGTTTTAACAAAATGTTGCTTATACATTTATTCACACTTTCTAATACCGTTAAGAAAAGACATATACAGTCGGACAATTTTACTCAACTATGTAAATTGCATAATAGATAAAATAGCTTATCATATGACCTGCACAAATTAAAAATGTAACTAAATAATATATAATGCATATCTTAATAATTGATAATAAATAGGAATAATTGTGGCGTAAATATTTGACGCAATAGTTTCATTAAAATTAAAAAAATTGCCCCCATAATTAGGGAAAATTCTTAATTGATAATTCAATAAATCATTTTTGAAGTGGGGAGTATTATTCTCATTAAAAAGCAACCAATCACAGGTAGGTAATCAAAACCTAACCAAAAATTTACTCCGTTTGCCGTAGGTACTGGGGCGTTCCATAGATTACATCACCACATAAGAATTGCTTTATCAATATACTTTAGAAGGAAATAAGTTGCAAAATATATCAAATTTTATTATATCATTAAAACTTACCTACCTCTTGACAAGCAACCCTCGTCCCAAATAGACCACCTATACCAAAAAGGGTTGCGTTCATTCCTAAATCAGGTGGCTTGATTTACTATGAAATTACTGAAGGTCACCTCTAATGTTCTAACCACTTAAATTATTGGATTAAATTTTATGAATTACACTTTGTTACACAGGTAGATACTATTCTTGAGATAGAACACAAAAGGAAAAATTATTTATTAAACAATAATTACGAGTTTTGGAAAATTATTGAATCAACTCTAGGAGACATCTAGTGCACGTTTCATGGGATATACTCTATTTCTTTGGTTTTTACAGAGAATGGAAATATGACTAACCTGCAGTGGCGTAACTACAGTAAGGAAAATTATTCTAAAGTGGGGAATTATGCTCGAGATTAAGAATTGGATAAGATATATTGTCCTTAGTATTTAAATTACATTTAAGAATAATAGAGCAATCTCAGGCAGAATTAATAGCAGTTAAATTGCAAAACTGTAGCATAGGCAACCAAGACAACAGCAACTCTGACCGTTAAAAATCGATTTGTTGAAATGACGCGGAAACTATTCTAAAGAAGGAAGTTTACGATTATTTTTGTATGTACCATATCTATAGCGGCGCGTCCGAATAAAATACTTGTATGTTTGGAAACAACTTCTGATTTTGATTTGTAAAAGCTAATAGCAAAGACTATCCTCCTCCATAGTCTTTGCTATAATAGCAATTCGAAAGTATACGGCATGTTATAAGGCGGAAGAGTGACAGATGCCATGTAATCATTGTTGCAATGTTAGAGAGCCGTGGTGTTTATGTACATTCTTTATTAAATATGGGGGCTTGCTTTTTCTGAAGGAATAATAAAGGATTCATATGCAATTGACTAAAATGAGATTATCTCATTTAAACTTTGAATACGTGTGGATCAATTAATAATTACATTAATAATGTACTATTTAATACTCTGTTTTAAATGTGTCTGGATATCGGCAATGGACGAAATATGGAAATTCGACAATGATAACCCTCCCCTCAAAGAAGGAAAGGCTATATCTTTAAAATTTATAGGTGTTAGGTATAGTTATAGGTCATAGAGCATATATGAAAGTCCGCTTAATATTGCTAGTTCTTTATAGAGTAAAGTAGAGCATCTATTAAAAATCTATTCGCATTGGTTTTCATGTTAGCCTAAAAATTCCTACACCTCATCCAACCCCTGTAATTTACCAAAGAAATTCATTCATTATAAGGTAACAAAGAAATTGTAATTTTACCAACTGTAATAACGATAGACATTTAAGAGAGGATGCGGTCAATTATGGGTAATGGGGTGCAACAAATTTCTTCTATGATTGCTTCCAATAAATTTTCTTTACTTTATTATTTTATCTAAATTAGAAAGCTTCTTATTTAGTCCTCAGGCGACTCAAGTAAAACCGCCCTTGAAATATTTTTATATTTTACATATTCTATTCTTTGCCACCTTTATTTATTTATGTTTCTTTTTATTTTTTGTTTTTATGTATTATTTTACATAATAAAATTTAGTTTTAGGCTATTACTATTGACTCGATCCTGGTGATAATCCGAATATTTAACGATAACATGAAAGTCCGGTCCCCAAAGGGTCAGTTTGTCTGCCTTTTCTTAAATTTAACACACATTAATTCCTATGGTAGCAATAAGTTGACCTCAATCTTAGTTATAACTCACTGACATTAAAGAGCGTAACAAAACTGGGCTCTAGTAAAATAAATATGGTTGTATACCATGCTATAAAAGGTACATTGTTTCACTTGCAGCGATTAATCTCTTTTGAGCATTGGATTTTAATTATGGATATTAATAATTAGTTTCCGTAGACGATCGAGACGAAAATTAATTGAACTGTTTTATGAGGAGAAGATGCACCAAACATATTTCTTAAAACCGTTCAAAATAAGTTAGTGCTCTCTTTTTATAATCGAATCCTTAAAGTCTAAGGAATTTTCTGAGTGACCGTTGAAAGTCTTGAAAAATGTTCCAGGCATGCTGCCATTTTTATTTATTGAAAATTTCAGTTGGATAAAACTTTTGCCTATATGCATCTTTAAACCGGTAATTAGGAATGTCAGTTGTTTACACAGTTGAAGTTGAAGAGGTACGGTGTTTTTTAAGATCAGATGTGGTGGTAATAAGATGTTTTAGTAACAGTGTGAAATTATCAGTCCAAAAGTGGAGGCCAGCTTCACACGACATTTCTCTTGCTAGCTTTATATAGATTTTTTTGAAAAGGTTTTACAAACTAACGATGTTAGAAACTAACTAAGAAGTTTAATACCTATTTCAAAGTTTGAATTTTCGCCTGAGGTTCTACGTACTAAAACTAGTTATATAGGCCTAGACAATTTTCAGAATCGGTGTATGATTGATAACTTTGGACTGCAGCCATTCTCAATATCCAAAATCCGAAAATTTCAATTTAGACCTACTACAAATCTAGTTATATTTTAGCTATTGTTCCGTTTATTTCCGATTATTAATTGAGATAATTACAATTTAAGGAATAAGAGGTGTCAAATTCTTATTGTACCTCTTTTTTAAAAACCTGTACTATGTATGTATACTTAAAGACGCATGGAATAGATGGCTATACTGCCCTACTATGAAAGAACCCCGTATATCCAAAAATGTCAGAAAAAGAGATATTGGTATATTTGGAATCGTTATGGTCTCTTTTATTTATTTACCTAATAAAATCCTTGCATTTACCGAATTTTAACCTATTTTATTCATACCCCTTCATTTAGTGCAGCAAAACTAAGTTAAATCATCGCATGTGACCATTCCTAGCTAAAGACCCCGCATCTGTATGCTACATTGGGACGCAATATACACTTAACGGTGTTATAAATATTAATCATCAACTTCATCAACCCCCAAATCCATTTTCAGATATTAAAAAATTGTAATTAGCTTTTCAAATGGTTATTTGGCCTAGAACACCTAGTTAAGGACAATCATTTTTGGAAAATTTATTACAAGAACGTACCAGACAGTCGCGATTTTCTCTGGAGTTACGGGAGAATTAAGTAGGAGGGCAGAATAGGCAACCAACTCTACACGAATTGGTTTTAAATGATAAATCTGCGTCTGCTATGGAAACTTGATTTTATTTTTAGCAACAAATTGTTAGTTTTTAAAACGAAGATGTATAGCAAAGGCGATAAGGTTGAAATGGTGTCGAGGTGGTAACAGTTAGTAAAAACAGCGTTAGTTTGTCGTGTGTAATGTTGGTTGCCTACAGCCATCTATTCCATATATAGTGACACCATTGTATATAATTTACAATGGTGATACAATAATTGTATTATTCGGGTTAGTTAGATTCAATTTTCAATACCACAATATCAACATATGTAAGTACATATTGTATTCGCCATTTTATGTGTGCTCTCAGTGTTTTAGACTATTTGTGGACCCTTATCCATCACACATATGTACGCCGCTGCTTTCTGCAAATCCTGCGCTGGTACTGGGGAAGGATTGACTGATTGACAACACTGTTGAATTCATGTAAATAGATATTTCCATATCTCATTATCATTCATTAATGTATATAGATCTTTTCAAACAATAGTGCATTCGTTTATATCTCAATGAATAAAATTATAGGAAATTGTAAATAAAGAAGCCAGAGAAAACTATGAGTAATTGCAAATATTATTCTACATTGTCATAACCTGCACTTGCCAAACCAGTATGATCTAAAAAACAATTGAAATGGCAGAAAATTACTCCATTAAACCTTCAAATGAGGTAAAAGCATATTCTTGACCCACAAAACTAATGGAATTTTTATAGGACTCTTTATTGAAGCATATAGATATATCGGTGTTGGAATCGGAAAAACGTACCAATGGTGCTCTTAACTTACGGGATTACTATATGGTTTACTTACTCGAAGTGAGGTACGTGAATAGTAACTTTGTATTAACATTTGTCATTAGTTCACTGCACACTCTATACAACGGCCATTACTCAGACTTAGACAGGGAATACGGTTCAAGTACTATTGAGATAAGATTACAATATTGGTCAAATTACTAGTGGCTCATACAACTATTAAAGTTGTTTACCAAAACTATGCAACTTCTTTTTGCTCCACATTCTTATCACTTAAACTTAAGTGCTTTCACTAACCTGTAACCTTATTACGTTAATTCAATGAGATTAAATGAATAGGTAAAACAAATTGTGTCAACGATTCTATAGCAACATTCACCAACTCGGTGAACTCAGGTGAATTATCATAAAACTCATATAAATAAATAATTTTTTTCTCAGCAACCTCGTCAGCAACCATCACATAGGCGAATGAAATTAACAGATTTACCTGGATTTTTGAATGTGTCTCTTCTGATTTTGTAAAAATATTTTCAAAATTCTTATTTTGATCACAAAATTTGGTTTCTGAGGGTTGTCCAACATGAAAATAGTAAATCCAAAATTAGTTTTTGAAAATTTACAAAAGACTGTCCAAAGCCGAGACCAAAGCACAAAAAATACACAGTTTCATGACATTTTATTGGGACACTCATTGACATTGTGCAGTTAAGACTATAATTTTCAAAAATTCAGCTCTATTTTCATGGTGAAAGGTACCCAGATAGGTGCTAAATTTTGCTGAGATTGCTTTTGTTGTCGCTCCTCATTTTAGGGGTAGAAATTTTGAATAAAAGGTTTATTTATTTATACTACTCCGGTATTTACCTTACGAATTAGGAAAACTGCAGGAAAACTTAATTTGGAGTGGCCGACTGAATGCTGGAAACTGATCTAAGGAAATTCTCAGCACCCGACCTTCCGGTTATGTAGCCCAATGCTCCACCACTGAGACACATAGTCGGGTCATGCCCAGGCAAATCTGTTTATTTCATTCTCCTATCTGATGGTTGCTCAGAAAAAAATAATGAAGGAATTCAAATTTTGATAGGTAGAAACTTTTTCCACTTTCAGCTTATTTGTAGGTAACACAACACAAATTAACGACATTGTTAGCTGGTTCACCCTGTATCTTGTGAAAAACTAATCTTTGATTTATAGCAAATGCTTTACATGAAATGTATTATAATTGTTAATATTCATTTATTTTTATGCAACCAGAACAACTAAGGCAAAGTAAGTATTTCATATTATTATTTACTATTTTTGTATTGTATTGTAATAAATGTTTTTTTATAGTCGTTATTATACAGTCCGATCATGCTTGTGCCTATATTTTTGTCCTTAGGTGGCTTTCCTAATACTGAGGCCCTTTTGAGGTTACTGGGGTTTCTGACATAGTCTTTGCTGCTTTTCTGTTGTTGCAGAATCTCATTGTTTATGCAGACAATCACCAAAATGTCAACCCAGTTTCAGCCCGAAAGTGTAGCGCCTTTTGTAAATATTTGGAATGATTTTGAATCAACCAAAAATTATTGTTTTGCCAATTTGTTTTAAATCTTCCAAGAGTTATCGTTTAATGACAAAAAATTTGAGTTGATCTCAAGTTCTCAAGCGCCCATTTTGTTGAAACACTCCCCTACCAATTTGGTACCCATTATTCGAGTGCTATGAGTAGAAATTATAAACTCCCATTAATTTGGGGTAGGTAAGTGAAATACAATAGTGTATCGTAAATTTAATTACGTTATTTAATATTTATTTACAATTAACTAACATTAAAAGTATAACTCTTGAAATGGATTAATTTATCACAGTAATTATTATTTATCACTAATAATTTATAGCATAACACGGGCGGGAGCTTAATACTTCACTTCGCATCGATGTTGGAACTACCTGAAACAGTAGATTTGGTTATATAATAATAATAATAATATTTATTTACAGGGAAACCCCAAAAAAGAACAACAATAATAAATTACCTATATAACAATAACAAGTTTAAAGTGTACATTACATATAAAATAAAAACATGATATACAATATTAATTAAAGTAAATAAATATAATAACTCACAATAATAATATACATTACCGTTTATACCTATAACATACTCTTAATAAACAAACATGCTACATTATCATTCCAAAAGTGCTATGGTTAACGTTTCTTATAAAAATCCATATCAACATATGTGAGATGTAATTTTAACTTTTGTTTGAGTAAATTTAGAGAAACATTGAATAGATCAATATATGGATAACTATTAGCTAAACACATAAATCTCTCAATGGGTAGGTTTTTGAGATAGTTAGTTTTGGAGGATTTAATAGAGAAAAGGTGAGTCATTGTTTAATTTAAACAATGGGTGAGTGTATCTAATATGTTTCTCGGGTACATTAAAGTTTATTGATTGAAGCAGCAAGGAATTATCACAATGACCATTAATCAGTTTAAAGAGAAAAATCAAATCGAAACATCTTCTTCGAGCAAATAAAGTGTTGCTGTTCAATTTTTGCAGAGCAACGATATGCGAAAAGTTTTCAGCAAGATAACCCATTTTATACCAAAAATAACGGAGGAATTTAATAGCGAGCTCCCCTCTTTCTCGAAAGTTCGCAAACACCCCGCTAGAGGGCGTTTCAATCATTTTTATTTTTAATAATAAGAAAGTTAATGGGCTATTAAAGAAATAGACGAAATTCAAGAAACACCCGGTAAAATTAAAAAGAGTGCATTGTTGCATTCTGCATTAATTATACAGTACAAGTAACTTAAAACACAACTAAGCAATGTTTACAAGAATACATTTAGTAAAATTCCTTTTTACAATTTTTATCGGTTAAACAGGATGTAATTACCAATTATAATCCTGAAAAGACCCCTAAGGTAATTAAGGAATTATAGGGCAATACAACAAAATGTAATAAACAAGTATAAATTGTGCACCTAAGGCGCATTTTTTAGCACACCAAGGCAATAGTCTAATAACTGTTACAACACAATTGACGTCTTATTGGAGCAAAAGTGGGCTGGGACTAGATCCCTACCAACACACAGGCTTTTTTCTTTGCCATCCGTCAGGGGTTCCATCGTTTTGCTTGGGGTATTCCACATACCTCTGATCTACATATTATTTTACTTTTGATAGTGTTCAATCAACATCAACATCATTTAACCATAAACGATTAATGGAATTAGAAACCAGTTGTGGGAATCTGAATTTATCTACCAAGATAGAATGGCCTGAGTTTCTTTGGATAATTTTGTTTCATAAGAATATTCTATTAAATATTAATGCTTCATCTTTTTAGGGTGACGGATCCCAAGTTTTGCAATGAATTCACCAATCTCTCCATGGTATGGCGTCGCTATACAGAGTTTGAACAACTGTACAACTACTTAAAAGTCACCTATCCTTACATTGTAACACCACCTTTACCTGAAAAACGTGTGCTATATGGTTGGCAAAAGGTCTCTAATGACGCCTTTGATCCAGATTTCATCGATCGCAGACGGGCCGGTTTGGAAACGTTCCTTTTACGCATTTCTGCCCATAACATCTTAAGTTGGGATAAGCAGTTTTTGCAATTTCTTCAAGATGATTTGTGGAGAGAAGCATATAAGTCTAATGGTTTGTCTTCGCATGGAAACATGCGCAAGTGTTACCGAATTTATTTTTAGGGTACCTTCAGTTGGTAGAAAACAAGTTGAAGGGAATCACAGTTTCCGTCCGACTTAAGACTCCCGATCCACGTTTCTTAGCAATAAAAAATTATAGTAATACTTTACATTTAAATTTAAATAATGTTCTCAGAGTTAGATCGAGAGTAGCTGAAAAACAATATAACATTCACAAGCTACATGCAAATTATGGTCGTGTTTTTAGCGAATGGAGTGCAATTGAAAAGGACATGGGCGACGGATTGCAGAGAATGGGGCATTACTTGGATTCGTTAGCTTCAAGTATCGATTCTGTATTAGAAGATGAAGAGTTGTTGGCGGATCAATTGAAGGAATATTTATTTTTTGCCGAGTCCGTGCAAAATCTTTGCAAACATCAGGAAATGTTGCAAGTTCAGCTGGAGGACGCCGAAAGTTCTGTTGCAAGTAAAAGTAATGAAAAGTCGAAAGCTCAACAGGGAAAGCTAGGAGTCATGTCTAAACTGTTTGGTGCTGTAGACACAGAAGAAGTGAGAGAACTGAAAATTAACTTATTGAATCAGCAGATTCACGATGGATCCGAAGTTGTAGGCTCATCTAAGAGTGAATTGAGGTTACTGTTAACATTACTATGTAAGGATAACTTTGACAATTGTGTTGCAGTAATTTTTGTTCCAATGCTTTAAAGGACGTGGAGAGGTTCCAAAGCCAAAAAGTAATAGATTTAACTGACACATTAGCAGCATACGCGGTGTTGCAGTTAAAAACAACAAAGAAGGTACTTCTTATCATTATTTGATAACAATAACACTTTTTCCTTTTAGAGCCTTCAGACATGGTTTCAAATTCGAGACTGTCTCCAACATATTCCGTAATCACTTCATAACATTCTCAACGCTTTTTAAAAGATGTTTACTTAATGTAGATTTATTTTTGTTGATCTTTAAAGTATATATAATATTAAGTTTACCTTTTTTGTTACTCACGACTGATACCATTGCCGTAAATAAACATTAGAGCAAGGGCCCTCAGTTTGTTAACGTGGCTTTGCTCATCGATGTTACCTTCTTAACGTACCACAGTTCCTTTTGTGGTAAATTAAATTGATTAATTGCACATACAAATCATTGGTGCTATTTTTCTAATAATTTGATTGTTATGCTTTATGGATTTCCAGGGAAATTTTAGGGAAGACAGGAATCTAGGTCACTGAAATCTCCTCATGAGCATATATGTGTTTTGTGATATTATAGGCGAAAATTTATTGCATATGTACCCAATTTGGTGTTCTTATTAAGTCGTTTGTTCATAAATAGTACAACGAATTTAAATTATTTCTGTATGTAAGCACATTTTTGTGATATATTTGATGTACCTTTAGCTTTATTCTACTTCTTAATTAATACATATCCTACAACTATCTTAATAAATGGTGATGAATAAGGCAGTTTTTTGCATGATTTGCTTGTTTCTCTTCTTTCCGCTTTAAATGTTTGTAAAATATTAGCTAACAATTAGGTATAACAAATGATGTAACTATTAAGGGTACAATCATGGCAGAAGTTACAGCTTTAAGTTAGGATCATAGATGCACTGTTGAAGTAGCCAAGTACAGATCTTAGAGGATTTTTTTTGGAATTGCTCAACAGATTTGGTGGCATGCCATTTGTTGAATAATTTGGACTCTAGATACTATTTAAAATAAAGAACCATGAGCGTTGGCGCGTGGGCAGAAGAAGTATTTAAAAAAAAGCTATATGGAAGCGATAGAAAGAGGACGAATATGTGCGAAAATTTGTTAAGAGGCTGGTAAGGATTGGATTGAAATTTCACAGTAAACTTGACAAAAGCTGAATTGAGGCACCGGCTGTATCCGTTTATTTTCGTAGGTATGTAAGTATGGGTTATTTTTGGTACGGTAACTAATCGTTTAGGATTGAGATTGTGGCTGCTCATATGTCCTTATTTATTATTTGTCAATTCGAGAAAATAAATAAATTAGAATTCAGTAGGTACTTGCGTAAACATCGAATTTTTGTTCCAATATAATTTCACGGCACCAGGATTTTTACTCGGTGCCGTGAAATTATTGAAACAAAAATGAATTAATTAATTAATTAATTAATAATTTCTTTAATTTCTTCGATTTCCCGCAACAAAAAATTGCAAATGGTCACATGAATAGACGCAAAATTTTACAATCTACAAAAAAGGAATTTACAACTTCTGTAACATAATTAGGGGAGAAAATATTTCAATCTAAAGAAATTACCATTGAAATACCTATGTCGCGTTAACCGTTTGTTTTGTTAACGTCAACTAATTAGTAATTATTTGCGATAATTCCTCTTAAAGGAAACCAACGACAACTTTTAACGACTGCAGCGTCACTATTTGATGTAATTAATTAATGTCACCCGAATCGATTTTGAACGCGTTATTATTCGGTTGGTGTACGCTGCTTTCTCTCCGAAATGATCATAGTTAACGTACAGAGACGATTATGAAGTTGGCTAGAAGTAGGCCAAAGGCCCTTCGGGCATTAGCACATGAAGAGACTCCAACCACATCGTCAAGTCGAACTGCTACTGGGAAAAAAATGCGCCGTAGAAATACGTACAAGTATAAGCTGAAGATAAAGCATCTAGAAGAGCAGTTGAAAAAGGAAAAGAAAAGAAGCGAAAAATACAAAAAAAGAACACAAAGGCAATCTGCACCATTGGAGTAGGGTAGGTTGGGGAGAGCTAATACACCACCACTCCAAGGTCACCACACGTTCAAGGTCAAGGTCATGATACTTCAAGGTCGAGGTCATGGTTACTTCAAGATTACCACACATTCAAGGTCGAGGTGATTACCACTCTTCAAGTACAGTTAAACGAGTCACCCATCACCAGTATACATAAAACACAAGTAATTTTTAACATATTTATTTTTTAAGATACAGAGCTCATACTTTAAAAAATACAGATATATTGATGTCAAACTGAATATTAAAGAAACACTTTGAAGGTTTTCAATATACGGTGGACAGCTTCGGGATCAGGTGTACCATACTAGTAATTACATATGAAAGTAGCGTTTACTTCACCTCGACATGTCGGCTTTCTCTGTAATAATACTGCGTACACACAATCCTTCGACCAGCGCAGGTGTTCATCTAAAGGAACGTCGCTACTTTTCCACTTGTTGATACGAACGTTACAGAAAATACATTTTACAGTATCACCAACTTGTGTATACACAAATCCAGCACTTGCGAGGGATTTTGGTGATTGCGCTCCTTTCCAAGATTGGTATGATAATAAGCGCTTATCAAAACAGAAGTTGTCGGGCTCCACATCTTCTCCACACATCTTGAAACAATGATTACCACTGCTTGGGCGCTAGCAGCTTTATGTATCCCCTCCACTGTCATCCATCACACTTCAAGGTTAAATCCACCACACAGTCAAGGTTAAATCAATGATTAAATCCACCACACAGTCAAGGTCTCCACACAACCAACGTTACGTGGGGGATTTGGTACTATATAATACACACAATGTAATGCATGGTAGTAGTCACCGATCATGGATAATATCAACTTTTTAAAGCAAACCGTTGATAAATTGAAGAACAATAATACAGTGCCTTTCACGGTTAGTGATGTTAATTTAGTCAATCAATCGCGTTATGAACTTAACAATAGTAAAAGTAAATGGGTGTGTGTTGGACTATCAGTGTACCGTCAATTCACACCAATGGTAAGAATCAGTGGATCCAAGACTGCAGGTGTTTCCTTTGATAAAAGTGAATGGAAATTATTCACAGACAATCAAAACCTTATTACGAATTACTTCTGCTCAACAGAAGGAAAATTGTTACCAATTAAGGTGGGATTCAAAACCATAACGTCTGAAGTGATAAACAATACCAAAGTCATAAAAATCGTTGACAACGGGGAATGTGACATTTATATGGCATTTGGTTCACTTCAACGGTTGTGGTTACTGGCGAATTTAATAACGTACCGTCTGGAAATGTTAACCACATTAGAGTTTGATAATTTTTACAATAAGATTATAAATGCCTCCGCTGAAATGACTGGAGATTACATTGAAAATATAATGAGTATCATTACACCGTTACAGGACTTGCATGACCAGAACACTGCCGTCTTAATGGAAGTGGTACTGTTTGTCAAGGACAAACTCATGTGGGATGCTGAAATTATCAAGTCGTTAAACTAAGTGGGGGAATTGTATATATATTTTGTGCATGTTTCTGTATGAAACACTAGTCATCATGTGGTTTGCTTATAGTCAGCAGAGTTGGCCTGTTGCTTATGATGGATATTCGGCGGTGCAGAGATTACATAGGGAAATGAGGGATTTGTGTTTTGACGCTGAACATGAGCAAGTGTATGGTTTGGGAAGATGGTACAGTGATGAATATTTACATAACCTAGCGGACAAGTACACCAGTGGAGAGAGCTTGTGCCAGGAGTATTTATTAATACACAAGGAAGAAGAAGGAAATGGTTTCACCATCGAAGATCATCCAAGAAACTGCTTTTCGTGCCTTCGACACCTTGTTGAGGATTTAAAATCCAAATCACTTGACAGCTTCGTGAATAACATCGAAAAATATTTACCAAGAGAAGATGTCAACGGGTCGAGTGAAATTTAATGACTCTATAAACACAGTGCGGTATATGGTCGTGTGGAAGTTCGCGCACCATGCAGCTCGGATAGGATTATGGGAACAACATGCAAGAGATACTGAACGTTTTAAAAGGCGAATTATTGAGTTAGACAAAGTTATATCCATTATATTAAGTAAGCAACATAGGGAAGCTATATACATTAGTCGCTTTAGTAATGGTGAATGTATAGAAATGAAACAATAAATTTGTAAAAAAACATTTTATTTTTTATATTATATTACATCTGAGGTAGATATCCAAGAATTATGAGAATTGTCAAATCCTAACCATTTTACAAAGGACTTATCACCTCGTCGACGTATTACACGTTCCACTAAATGAATGTCTGGAAATTTGACAGCCTGCAGTTCTGGTTCGTAAAAGCGACCTTTGATGTCTTGCTGGCGACTATCTCGTAAAATATATGAAATTGGTGTTGATCGTTTTACCATAGCAACTTGAAAAACTTCATAGCTCCAGTTAGGGGTATAACCTTTAGAGAATACACTCCTATGCTTGCTGATACGCACATAATCTCCCACAGCAAACTTGGAGGGTTTGGGATCCATTACTTTACGGTATTTGTAAGATTTACGTAAAATGCTCGCAGAATTTTTATCATTAACTTCATTAGGTTTATATCCAGTAGTTCGATGTTTAGTGGAATTGTACTTTTCAACTATTTGGGGTAAAAGCGATAGCCATTTGTAAGAACCCTGTAAGCTGAATGCCTTCCACATCATTCCTTTAAGAGTTCGATTAACTCGTTCCACAATACTGCTTTTAAGATTAGAATAACTACTATAATGGTTGATGTTGAATTTTTTCATAACGTCACTGAAGTTCTTATTATAAAATTCCTTTCCCATATCAGTTTGTAAATTTTTTGGAAGTTTTCTAAGTCCAGATAACAGTTTATTCATAGCGTCTGCTACGAGTTTTCCATTTTTACGTTTTATAGGATATGCCCAAACAAACTTTGAAAATGCGTTTATAACTACCAAAATGTAGCGAATACCCTTGTTAGTCCCAGCATACGGTATCATTTCAACTAAATCGGCTTGAAATAAATCATTAAGACCTTTGATCACCACAGATCGTCGTGGAAAATTCTTTCTTGTCGGTTTATGTAATTCTTCCACTATCACTTCCTTACTCATTTCTTAAGCTTGGATTGCAATATGACATTCAGATAAAATCCGACACCTACACCAGCAGAGTCGCATGATACACTAAATATATCATTTCTTTTCAATGTCAACCCGATCAACGATGAAGGAGCGTCAAACTTTTTCTCATTTATATTTACTTTACTATCTTTAGGAAACCATGAACAACTAACAACGGTTCCTTCAGTAAGAGGAAATTTATATCTAGTATCTTCTTCACTATGGTAAAGGTAAAACGATGATGCTGTTTTATGCATTATTCCTTTTATTTCAAACTGGTACTCATAAGTATATGTTGACGGGTCATACATATAGTGGTGCGCGTGAATGTGTCGTCCAAATTTGTCGAGAGTCATAATTGTAATGAATTCAAATGCAATAAGAGCGCACCTTTATTCTTCTTGCAAAGGAACATGCAATATGACCTCGAACAAGAATGGCCTCTGTAATTTCTTCTTACAATGTGCTGATATCTGATCATTAAATGTTAACACATGCCCTCTCATTGTAGATGGATCCGTATAGGTTTTTCCAGCAATGTGGACTGTAGCGTCAGATGGAAACCATCTGCACGTTGCAACGATGGCTTTTTTCATTGGGAACAAGTAAATATGGTCTTTTTCCCCATGAATAGTAATTCTACGTGTAAAACTGTGTTGATAACCCATAATTATTAAAGGTAGTTCAAGCGCCATGGTCTTACTGATAAATAAATATACCTTCTCATTGTATTATACCAGAATTACGCAACTCTTCAGTTATGTAAATTATTTCATTATGATTTGCCGTGTTCCCGGCAGACTTAGATCCTAATAACACCCTTAACCAATTCACTAACTTGTTTGGATCATTCCAAGGAACAAATTCTATTTTTTTATTGTTAAGCTGTAGAGTTGATAAAGTACCTCCCCGTTTCGTAGAAAGGGTTAGAGCGCGCTGTCTGAGTGTTGGACCTAGATGTGATGACGAGAATCCGCTTGATGAACTTGATCCTTGCAACAGTGGTTTAATAATTTGAACATACTTTGGTTGACCGTTTCCTTGGATTTGAGCTTTGGCATCATAATGTCGACGTGCTGCACTAGTGCGTATTATAATATCACGATAAGCTTTAGAATCTGCAGATTTAAAGCCAATGGGATTTCTTTTAAAGAGTAGTTCGAATAATCCTGGAGTTCCCTTGTATGTGAAGCGTTCTCCATTAGAAGACACAATCACAATATCTTCCTTAGCAAAATCTAATTCCGAATCACCCACGAAAAATTTGTTTAATGTTGGTTCATAGCGGACGCCATACTTATGGTCATACTCGTTATTCGTGTCCCTAAATATTCCCTCTACATATATCTTTGGCAAACCGTGGTATTGATCGAGAAATTCTTCAAATGCAGGATTCGTTCCTACGTGGGACAATTCCTCGCGCAAGTCGTCAAGTGTCGGTACATCAATATCGTCTTCTGGAGTGGGATCTCCATATTCGCTATCTTCTAAAATGCTAGGCTCATGCAAAACACTGGGTTCATCGATAGAAAAAAGGTTTCTTGCCACCTTTTGGGGAGTGGAAGTTCTCGGAGTTTGTTGGGCAAATATTGGTGATTGACGTTTGACACTTGGTAGTTCTGTTTTGACGGTATCTAACTTAGTAACTGTCAATAGTTGTTTTAGCGGTTGGGTAATGGGTTTAAAGTGTTGCTCTACCATGCGTTCTGTAACCGCCATATCCTGCTTCAAACTGTCATATTTCTGTTTGACAGATTTGCGAGCAAGTATCAGGTCTTTTGCCAAACGCTTTTCCATGATAACTACGATAGACGAAACATAATGGATGTATTTATAGGGATATGTAACAATCGAATCCTTTTCTATATCGGCCAGCGGTAATGTCACTTATTTTATCGAGTACTAGAAATCCATGCTTTTGACTCCAACAATGATGACAAATTTCTTTAAATTGATCAAAAGACATATCTACATTAACGTGATCGTCGTACACGTGCTTTAAGTTGGTTAGGTCTTGCTGAAATAATATAATTAAGTTTGCGTTGTCGCGGATCAGTTGTTTTGGAATCGAGGAGTACGTTTGGCATAAGTAGAAACAGTCATTATTTTGATGTCTACCGAAACAGAAATGTTCACGTATTTCATTCTGTTTATGACACGCTACATCATCAAAGATCATAACCGAATTCTTCCGAGCCAAGTTAGGAGGTATGACATCGGAACTATCATCGTATTCATAAAATCCAATACCCTTCAGTGGCAGTAGTAGTTTACGAAGGTACTCATATTTTGGTTGATATAGGGACTTGCTGTACACATACACGTTTTCAAACCGCAAACCATTCGGATGTTCTAATAACGCTATCATAACATTAGTTTTTCCACATCCTGAAGGACCTACTATTAATCCTCTCCTACATCCCCCCTGCAACAGGTCACTATGTTTTGGATATTGCGTTTCTGTAGAATACGAATCGTAGTTTTTTATAGGTAATTGTATAAGTTGAGGCATAAAGCGGATTGTAGTCATTGTGATACTGAGAGGTTGTTGTCTTGCTCACCACGTATATATACGAGGCTATATAATTGGGAAAAGTGTGTGTGCGATTCGCATATTAAATAAACTCCTTGCAGGAGCAACACCTATCCATGAAGGTTTATTCTCAGAAAATTCATAAAGCTAACCGAAAGGGCAAAGGAGTCCTTAATACTCTTATAAATAAATTACCTGTAGAGTTGCATTTGCCCGGATATCGATATTGTGGTCCAGGAACACGATTACAGAAGCGCCTGGCACGTGGTGACACAGGAGTCAACCCTTTAGACGAAGCTTGTAAGGAACATGATATTGCATACTCAAAGTCTACAGAGTTAAGTGACCGTCATAAGGCGGACAAGGTACTACAACAGAAAGCGTGGACTAGATTTCGCTCCAAAGACGCCAGTTTTGGTGAAAAGGCAGCCGCTCTTACTGTCGCAGGTGCAATGAAGGGAAAGAGAACATTCGGAATGGGTACAAAGGAAAAGAGAAAACGGAACGCTCCTATTACTTTCAATAACGCTATCAAATTAGCTAGAAAACGTATAGGTGGTAAAATACATTCCAATTTACAAACAACCGTCCGAAGAGCTCTCGGTGCATTGAAGAAAAAGAAAATACGTCCCCCAAAACAACGAATTTTACCACTACCTAAGACAGGTGGATTTCTACCCCTTATTCCACTGTTTGCAGCGTTGGGCGCCCTTGGTTCCTTAGGTGGAGGAGCAGCAGCCATAGCAAAAGCAGTAAATTCTGCAAAAGATGCTAGCAAAGCTTTAGAAGAGACGAAACGACATAATCAAGCGATGGAGGCCGCCGCCATTGGAAAAGGTCTTTATCTGAAACCATACAAAAAGGGGCTGGGACTATATTTAAACCCGTATCAAAAAAACTCCCAGTGAAGCTACCACATCGCGCATTAACGGACGTGGACCTTACCAAATATGTCAAAATGCTAAAAATACCAGATTTTCGAGGCATTTACATGCGCAACAGTTTACCATCATCTGTACGTCAAAACGAATGTGGAATCATCAATCTAGATGATAAGGAGAATGAAGGTACACATTGGACGGCATACATCAAACGTGGTAAACACGTCTTGTATTTTGATAGTGTTGGTAATGTGAAACCACCATTAGAACTCGTCCGTTATTTTCGAGGGGTTGGTAGCGGAATTACAATTGAATACAATTATGACCAGCTACAAGCACTCAATACTTACAATTGTGGACATTTAGTGCTACGTTTTTTATACAACAACGCAAGGTGATGTGATTCAGTTACAAAGCAATCGACATGTCGTTCACATTTTCTTTCACTGGAACTAAACCTTTGTTAACGGCAGATTTTAATCCACCTATATTTCTCCATAGTGACAAAGAATACGTTTTGGGTTTAACAAATTTCGAAACGTACAACACAATACAAAACGTAACATCCGCTAATAATCAATTTCAGTTTGGACAAACGACTATAGAAATTCCACCCGGTTGTTATGAAGTAGCTGATTTGGATAAATATATAAAACGCGAGGTTGCAAAATTTGGAGGATTTGTAGATCTGCTCGCTAACAACAATACGCTTAGGGCTACCATTAAGTCAACACAACAAATAGATTTTACAAGTCCTAATTCAATCGGATCGCTCTTGGGATTTGAAAAAATTATTCTCCCTCCAAAAATTACACATACTGCAACAAATCCTGTTGATATTTTGCACATTAATTCGTTACTGGTCGAGTGCAACATTACAACGGGCAACTATAAGAACGGTTCACCTGACCACATCATTTACCAGTTCTTCCCAAACGTTCCTGCAGGTTATAAGATAATAGAGTGTCCACAAAATGTTATTTATTTACCAATAAACGTTACCACCATTTCCAACATAACTCTTAGAATACTCGATCAAGACGGTGCTGTTGTCAATTTCAACGGAGAAGTAATCACGATAGGATTGCACCTCAAGAAAAGTGGATAATGGTGAAATTATATAATCGATGTGGATGTAAACATGAACAAAATAAAAGACCCAAGGTTGCTAGGTTAAAGATTAGTAAACGTCCAACAACCAAACCGTTAACAGCTACCAATAAGGCTTTTCTAAAATCTTTGGGTTTTACCATTTTAAAATGAATATATTAGACGTAAACGAAAAAGTGTTAGTGGACAACAGTATAATAAATTATGAATATCATACACACCAACCGTACACTACGAGATTTGGAAATAATGATGAAATTAGAATTCCAATACAGGAAGACATGTGCACTCTTCCCTCAGAAAGTCACCTCTACATTGAGGGAAGATTACTGCGGCAAGATGGGACTGCATCACTTAACGCAAAATTTGTAAATAATGGCGTTGCATTCCTTTTTAGTGAAATTCGCTATGAAATAAACGGGATAGTCGTCGACTCCATAACTAAAGCAGGGTTATCATCAACTATGAAGGCTTTAGTATCCTTAACTCCTAGTGATAATACGCGTTATCAAAATTGCGGATGGTTCCCGACCAGTACTAGTACAATTACAAACCCAACAGGTCATTTCAACATTTGCATACCGCTAAAGCTTCTATTGGGATTTGCCGAGGACTATAGAAAAGTGATATTAAATATACGACAGGAACTTGTTCTCATACGAAGCAATGCAGATGACGATGCTGTAATATCCACAGTTGCGGATGAAGCTCTTAAAGTAGACATTGAGAAGATCCATTGGAAAGTACCTCACATCATTCCAGCACTTGCGGAAGAATTGGCTTTAACAAAATACATTGATAAAAATTCGGAGACCCAAATCGCGTTTAGAAGTTGGGAAACACACCTATACCCAGCTCTTCCACAAACGGATAAACATACATGGGCTATAAAGACGACAACCAGTTTGGAAACACCTCGATATATCATCATCGGTTTTCAAACAAATCGAGATGGGCAAGTTAGTAAAGATATGAGCCAATTTGATCACTGTGACATTAAAAATGTACGTGTGTTTCTCAATACGGAACGTTATCCTTATGATAATTTAAACATTAATTATGGAAATAATCGGTACGCCACATTATACGACATGTACGCAAAGTTTCAATCGTCTTACTATGGCACAGAAAATCGACCTGTACTAAACCGAAAAGAATTTAAAGAAATCGCTCCTTTAATCGTTGTCGATTGCTCAAATCAAAAAGAAGGTTTGAATTCCAAATCGGTGGTACTGCGAATCGAATTTGAAACTAATGCCAATATCCCAAAAGATACTATAGCCTACTGTTTGATTTTGCACGATCGACTATTTACCTACAACGCATTAACAAAGGCAGTGCGACAAGTTTAAACCTGGTTAGGGAAACTGAAACTATTTTGTCTTATTGTTAGATTAGTATATATATATATATATACCATCTAGAAAACGGAACATTATCAGTCGTAACCTACACTTTACAGAGGAAGCATGGTTGTTGTAGTTGACGTACAAGGATTCAAATCTTCTAAGAATGGTTTTATACCAAAAGAATTAGCAGTTTACAACGGTAATCAATTGGCACATTATGTTTTTAAACCGCCGTTTCCTTGGAGCAACTTGGATGTAGAGTTTCAACGACAAGCCAATTGGTTGATGCATAATCATCATTGCATTAAATGGGAAGAGGGACATACACCACCTCACATGTTTTCCACGATACTGCACCGTCTAATATCGACAAATGAGGATGTGTATGTAAAAGGGAAGGAAAAGGCTGACTTCATCCGTAAAATTTTAACACAAAAAGTTATCGAAGTTGAAGAGGAACCGGCACTACCATCCTTGGAAGCAACATGTTACCATCATTCACGACCAATTTGTCATTGTGCATTGTCAAACGTAACTTATGTTTATAATAATTATATTATGCACTAATTATTGTTGTTGTAAATACTTACATTACAAACTTACTTTTTTAATAAAGACACATCTAAGGTCAATTGTTTTATTCAATATTTTATATTACAGTGGCAAAATATGCAATAAATATACAATAAATAATTACATTAATAAAGACACATTTAAGGTTAATTGTTTTTTACAGTAGTAAAAGTAACAAACTAGAATTACTCTCAAAAATTAACTCATCAAAATATTATAAGCATCGTTTATTATTTCATTAATTTCAATATCTGTACTCGATTCATTTGTAATAACAGGGGTAATTAAATTATTATAAGCATCATTTATTATTTCATTAATTTCTATATCTGTACTCGATGCACTTGTAAT